ACACACACACACACACACACACACACACACACACACACACACACACTGCACAGAAAGCTAAAAGCCCAGGGACCTTTCCAGCCTAGCACTCTGGAGAGTGCCCTGGGGGTGTGCACGGTCAGACAGAGTGAGCTGGGGCAGCAGTATGTGCTGTGACCCCCTGTACAGGCTTCCTGGGCTTCCATCCCCTTCTTTCTGAGCCCAAGGACATGGTGGGCTCTTCTTGTTCAGGCTTTAGGCAGCATGCAGACCCAAGCCTACAACCTCCTGTGTTCTCCAGTGTTGGCTGTGGGCCTGGTTTTGTTTTCCTGTTGGATTGGTTGACCCTGGGCTCCCCCACCCTGAGTCCCATGTTATGACTCTGCATCCGCTCCTGTGCCTGGACTATAGGGCCCTTACCCCTACCCCCTGCCCCCCACAGCAGCTCAGGCTTGGAATTAGGACTCTTCAGGATGGAAGAGGAGCTCTGCATAAGGAGACAGAAGTCCCAGGCTCCAGTCCTGAGTGTGTCGCTTACTGGGGGTGTGGAGATGTGACTTCAGGCCATCTGGGCTTGTGTTTGCTCAGCTGGAAAATGGGGAGAGTAACCCTAGCCTCGCCTGTTTTACTGGGCAGTTGTGGAAGTCAGATGAGGTCATGAGCATGGAAGTGCCCTGCAGACAGCAAAGTCTGGTCCAATTATGAGGGATTACGACTGCTATTATTATCTACCCATAGTAACTGCTCTGGCTCAAGCAGCAACAAACACACACCCAGCTGTGGATCCCGGTGCTGACAGAGCGAGCACACTTGCACACTGGCAGGCAGGTGTCGCGCCAGAAGATGGCAGTGACCTCGGCAGACCAGGCCCGGGGCACAGGGGGGCCTCCTCTCTAGCCACCCACACCCACAGCGCACATGCTGGCTGACCTGGCACATCTCTCTGGCACCCTGGACTGGTTCCAGTAGTGAGAGGGAGCTGCCCCAGGAGGGTGCCTAGTGACACAGTGGTCTAGGAAAGCCAGGCCTGGGGCAGGGGCGCTACATCTTGGCACATGGGGAGACAGAGGCTTGGTCTGCAGCCCAAGGAGCCTGGCAGAGGTGCTGGGGATCTGGCACAGAGAGCTGTTTGGGGAGCCAGGGGAAGGGGCGGGGCCGCTCACTGGCCCCTTAGCTGCCCGGCCCCACCTGCCTCCCTTGTTCCTGCCACGCCTCCAGGCACCATTTGAGTGCTTCTGGGCTGCCAGGCCTTGGTTTAGGCTGTCCCCTGGGCTGGTGAGCCTGTCCCTGCTCTTCGCCCCTCCTCTCAGTTCAGTGCACCCTGGATTACAGTTTTCAGTGGACAAGTGGTTCTCAGAATGACCCCCAAACCAGCCACATCAGCGAACCCTAGGAAAGGGTCGGAAATGTGGAGCTCAGGCCCCAGCCCCACCTGCGTAGTCAGGAACGTGGGCCAGGCCCCAGCAATTAATGTCTTAAGCAACCCTCCAGGGAACTCTGTTGCCTACAAACATCTGAGATGGTCTGGGCGGATAATGTCCAGTGCCTAGAAGATGGTCTTGGCCCTTTCTATGTGATTACCTGGGCCCCACAGTAGCACAGAGTATAAGCCCAGGACATAGTCCATGGATAGAACGCAAAGGAAAAGGGGAGTGGAGGAAACCTCTTTGCAAGAGAGTGATCACAGAGCCCGGAGTCAGGCAGGTGCGGTGCAGAGCTGGGGGTGATGCGCTGAGTGGTTGCCCTCTGGGAGTAAGCGGGGAATCCGTGTGTGTGAGTACCCTCTGGTGCCTGCTGCCACCTTGTTCTGCCATCCGTCAGGTGGACAGGGGACACTGCAGAGGCTGAGAGGACGCAGGGTTTGGGGGCCTGAGTTGTGGGGCTGTGGTCAGGGTAAGTCAGCTGGTAAATGTGGCTGCAGCAGAGAGGGGCGGACCCCAGGGGGACAGGTGGGAGGCCAAGAGCTCAGAGGGATCCCAGGGCAGAGGGGAGGGGACCAAGGGCATTCCAGGGCCTCCTCAGATCCCCACATAGTAATGCAGGTCCCCAGGCCATTTCCACATTCTCAGGGTTCCCCTCTTTCTTCTGGCCTCAGAGGCATAATGGCCAAGTGCTCCGAGCACTGACTGCCAAGCACTCTTCACAAACTCTCACATTTAATTCTTACAACTGCCCATAAGGTAGGTGCAAGGGTCAGGGATCTAGCTCAGTGGTTCTGCCGCCTGACAGTAAGGTAGGCACTAGTATTTTCATTGCCTTTTCCTTCTCTCTTTCTTTTCTTTTTCTTTACTGGTTAGGGATCAAACTGGAACATACATTACTACTGAGATACATCTCCAGGCCTTTTGATTTATTATTCTGAGACAACGTCTCCAGAAATTGCCCAGGATAGCATCACACTTGCAATCCCTCTGCCTCAGCCTCCTGAGTAGCTGGGATTACAGGTGTATGCTGTTCTGTCTGGCTTCACTGTCTGTCTTTCTTTTTTTTGCGGGGGGGTGGTGGTTGAGGCAGGGTCTCACTGTGTAACTGAGACTTACCTGGAACTCTATGTAGCCCAGGCTGGTCTCAAACTCACAGTGATCCTCCTGCCTCAGCCTCCTGAGGACTGGGATTACAGGCATGCGCCATCAAGCCCGGCTTCACTGTCTTTCTTGTTAAGACTGAACCAAAGCTCAGAGAGGTTAAGTCATTTGCCAGAAGTTACACAGTAATAGGTGGTAGGACAAGAGTTAGGCCACCTGCTGTGTGAAAGAGATGGAGGCCTCTCCACCGTGAGACTCAGTAGTCCTGTTCCAGTTCTTCCTGCTGCAGGCTGAAGGGTGCTTTTTCAGACTGAAAGTCAGGATGGTGCAAGAGGCCCAACCCTGTGCAGCAGTGCTTGTCTGCGGTGGATGTCGGGCTTTCATCTCCAGCTGGAACACACGTGTTCAGGCCCATGGGCCTGATTCTGCACATGTGCACATGCGAACACTGCACTTAGGGCTTCGTCAAAGACACCAAAGTGGACGCTTACTTCTTACTGCTCCCCCATTCTTTTCTCTCATTTTTCGGACTCAGCTGCCTCTCCAGGTATCTGCTGCAGAGTAGAGCTTCACAAGCTGGTCAGGTGGACTGATCAACATTCTTGAGGACCTAGGGAAGGACAGGGGACAGAAGGGCACAGCAAATACAGTGAGGCTAGGCCATGGCAGTGCTCTGAGGAGGGAACTCCTCGGTGTACCCCTGGTGCCCTCTCCTGTGTGAGTAGAAGGTGCAGCAGGGTGCATGGCAAGTGTGGTCTGCGCATGTGTCTGGACCTGTGTACAAGTGTGTGTATGGTCAGGGCTGGAGCTC